ATATATATAATTCTACAAATGTTTATTACAGGAAAGAATAGCAAACATCGCACTTCCACAGGTAAAGACATTTCCTGTGCAGATAAGTGGTGGTTACAACGCACAAGTGAGATTGCATTTACCACCCGGGTTAAGAGAAGATGAGATTACACGTTATCCATTGGTGGTTCAGGTGTAAGTATGTCAAAAATATATTACTTTTAATGGAATCCTAAAGTTATCTGTTACAGATTTGTCTATACACAACAGTATTCACTATTTCAGATACGGTGCTCCTGGATCGCAATTAGTCACTGAAATGTTTAAAGTGGATTGGAATACATATTTGGCTAGTCGGAGAAATGTTATTGTCGCACAAATCGATGGCAGAGGAAGCGGAGGACAAGGCTATAAATTATTGCATGAGGTGTATTACAGACTAGGTTCTGTTGAAGTGGCTGATCAACTTGAAGTTACAGAGTAATTGATATATTTTTTAAAAATTAAAATATTAATTATTATTATAGTTAATTAGTTATTTTTTAGCCCTTATATTCAATTTGTAAAACTTAGACATATAAAATTTCTGTAGAGCACACACATACAAGATTTATTATTATTCTCAATAAGATTATAATTGTTCAGGTACTTAAGAGACTCTTTGCATTTTGTGGACAAACGAAGAGTCGCAGTTTGGGGATGGAGTTATGGTGGTTTTGTTGCCGCTCTTGTTCTGGCTCATCCGGAACAGAAAGTGTTTCAATGCGGGATAAGCGTCGCACCTATCGTCTCCTGGGAGCTTTATGGTAAAATATTACTAAACAAATCACGGAGATATACAGGATGTTTCGAATTTAAATGCCCAAACTTCGGGAGTATAGGGAATAAAAAAAATATCCTTTAGAGTAGATATGCTTGTTTTACTCGGTTTTGGAGAAAATCGTAAAAAAAAGACAACAGTCTTTTTTGTGATTTTGCAAAAAAAGAGAACAGTCTATAATTTTACCTGTTAGAATGGACGGATGAAAAATGTGACAGAAATTTTTTTAAAATTTGTTAAAAAAATTAAGGATATAATTTTTAATTGTACCTGTAATTTTTATATGTATATTTTATTACTTTATATAATTTTAACATAAATGATTTTTGTGCAGATTCTGCATATGCCGAGAGGTACATGGGATTACCGAATGTGACATCCAATTACAAAGGTTATGCCGAATCTAATGTTTATAACAAAGTAAAGTACCTGCATGATAAGATGTTTTATTTGGTACACGGAACTGCGGATGATAACGTTCAATTCCAACAGTCCATGGCACTTGCTCGTCATCTCGCTAGAGAAGGCGTACTTTTTCGACAACAGGTACTTCAATTTTTTTTTTATAAATATAAAGTTTATTTTTATGCAAGTTATTTGTATGCAGGAAAAGTTTGGGATTTAATAATCTTTCTGTTTTAAGAATTATAGAGGTGTACTAACTGTTGATGAAATTGACCAATAGCTGATTGTTTAATATTGATGTGAATAAATTAAATGTTTCATTCCTAGCTTCGCTTTATTATAAGTACATTTATATCTAAATCAAAATGTACAAATCAAATGTATTTTGTTTATTTCAATTAAATTTAATCCTTATAAAATTTATTAGTTACAGAGATGTTTAACTTTAGTTGCAATTTTCAGAGATTTGCATATTTCAAAATTGTAATAAATTTTATCATCAATAATTTGTTAAAAATGTTTGAAGGAAAAAAATTAGAAACTAACTGAAATAATTATGCAACTAATTTATTTACATATGGTGATGAATATA